AGAATAGGCCTCCAGTGAAAAAATGACACCATATTAAGCATTAAATGGTGGCTAGGACTCACAAGTACTAACAATAGGCGTCAGTTGTCTGTTATTACGTTCCTTCATCATTGAATTTTGACATTTGATTTTTTGGACTATGAGCAATAATTTGGGATAGCCCTTCATTTGCCCAAATTTCTGAGTCTCACATGGATTCGTCGTCATTTTTTTAGATGAACAGTATTTGGAAGATTTTTATAAATTATTTATCACAACTTGCAATCATTCTCTTTTTAATTTGATCCTTTGATTCATGAGAATATTTATGCTTAAATCCCTCAGATATCTCTGCAAAATAAGTCTAGATAAAATTGGTTGCAGAGATTTGCGTGAGTTCATATTTTTTAAGAATATCATTAATCTGCTTAAGTTTATCTTCCTCATTAATTTGATGCCGCCATTTTATTAAAAATTATTGTCGTAGACATAACAAGTTAAATTGGCCTTTTCCTGGACAAATTCTCCAAGACCAGATCCATGAAATTTGACAGTCAATAAAGAAATGAATTAAAGTCAACCTTTAGCCAAATCCTCATTTTTGACATTTTTTTTTAAATTTAGGTATAAATCAACCCAATATCATACTTATATTTTATTTTTTTAGATATAATATCTAGTTTAACACCAAAATAATTCCATCATTTGTAGAACAAGACAAAAATTTCTTTATTTAAAAATTTCATTATTTAAAATAAACATTCAAGGGTGTTTTGGTTTGGAATTCGCTATAAAGAATGTTTTCATCATAGCATTTACATAATTCCAGTAATTGATGAAAATGTGATGTTATGGATTAAATGATAGAAAAATTGTCCTATATTGATATGGATTAACTTTCCAATTACGATGATGGATAATATTTTATAAAACACATTTGTTATACAAAATATTTTGATTTGTTTTATCGAGGCTATGATGTATATCTATAAATTTTAGTTAAATTAATATTTTTTCATAGACTTCTATAATGAGATGGGATTCATCAGAGAAAGTTGTCTTTCCCAAATATCTTTCTGTTAAAAACAATGTAGTCTTAATATGCTATCTTTGGGATTAATTTCCAAACTATTTTACTTGAGCTTCTTAATAATATAAGAAGATTCGAGTGTGAAAGAAGTTAATAATTTTTATAAAGTTTGAGGCTTTGATGAAGTTTGTGCCTGAAATGTTTCTACTTGTTCTTTCTTAAGAGATATTGCATGTAAGTATTCTCTATGCTTGATCTGAACTTTAGGAGGGTAATTTCCTCATTGATGATTGTCACAAGTATCTCGACCTCCCCCACCACCCTTCATAAATATCTCATAATTTCTAAATATTTTAAATATATATCTCATAATTTTTAAATATTTTGCAACACAATTAAAATGTCGTGTCCCACACTCAAGCATTATGCAATAGTGTTCCACAGTGACCTTTGCATTATAGTGTGTAGTAGTCATTGCAAATATTAGGGGTGTTAATTCGGGCAGCAAGTCGAGTTCGGGTACGACCCAAAAATGACCCGACCATAATAGGGTCAACCCGAGCCCGACCCGACTAATAAATGGGTCGAAAACTAAGACCCGAATCTGAGCTTGACCTGCTAACCCAAACACGACACAAACTTTCGTGCTTATTTAGGTTATATTTGGGTTTTTGGGTTCAACACCAACCCGCCCTGAATAATAAATGGGTTGAATTCTTCGACCCGAATCCCGCTCGAAAAATATTTGGGTCCCTAACCCAGATTTTTTCGAGTCGAGTTTGAGTCATGTTGGCGTGTCATATCAATTTTTGACACCCCTAACAAATATGCTATTGCTATGATAAAAGTGTATGTATGATCAATGATACTTTTTCCATAAATGAGTTAAGGATACAATATATTTTTCACTGCAAATACGGATCGCGAATTTAATTTTTTATATGTATAAACTAGCCAAACAAAGAGAAAAAAAAAGTAAAGATTTAACTCAAGTAAAGTGTGTTAAAGATGAAAATCAAAAAGTACTTTTCTTAGAAAAAGATATTCAACATAGGTGGGTGAGTTACTTTGATAAACTTTTTAATGAAGTTTCTGAAAATACGATCGACCTTAGTGATTTTAATATCGTGAATAATAATAAAACGTTTCATTTTTACCGTCGCATTAGCAAAAAAGAAGTTGA